AAGAAAAAAATAGTATTTTCTTTTCAAACTATATGTGTGTACAGTACTTTTGAACCAGTTAAGTCTACAGTATTTGAATTGAAAATACTGCCATATAAAACATACCAAGGGGAGAAAAAAGCAATAAAAAAAGCATACAGGAATATTCTCACAATGTGCAGTGCCCCGTAATATAATGAGAATGTCAAGGGACTGACAAAATGAGCATTACAATGTAAAGGCAATATAACATGGTACAAATACAGCCCTTACTTAAACACACCGACATGGGAAAGTGCTAAAATAATCAGGACTACTTCAGGCTTTTAAAACGTTAATGTAAAATATTTTATTTTATGCTGTTTTACAAAGCTTGAAAGGTTTTGCTGCTTTTAGAAGATTTTGCCTCCACTGCTAATAGTCAAAGTATACATGATACAGTCAGAAAGACACTTATCCTTCAGGTGATTGGAATCACCTAATATTTTAACCTATTTCAAAATGACCATTTAGAATTCTCTTTTGCCAATTGACACCCCCACTGCAAATACCCTTGTGACAGTGAGGGAGGATAAAGACTATGAGTGTTTTTGCATGAAACTGGTATCGCTTTTCACTCTGCTGTCCATGCACTACCTGACAAGTAAGAAAGCACTGAACGATGGAGTGATGAGCATCTTACGTACTGTATACGATAGTGTAATTAGAAAGTCACAGGGGAGATTATGGTGTAACAGGACAAAGATAACCTGTTTTATCTAAATCCATTTAATCCTGCTGATGCTCCGCCAATTCTATGGTACCACTGAAGGAATCCCAATCAAAGTTCAGTCTGTATTGCAGTCTGTTGATGCATCTTAATAAGGTATTCATGCTCTGCTATAATTTTACTTTACAATTTAAACTAACAATTAAACGAAAAACTCTTCAAACAGAAGAATGATAAACATTACAATTTTATAGAGTTTGTGAAACTTAAAATGTATTCATCAATGTACCTAGTATTGGTGACAAGAAATGCTGCTGAATTGATCTAAGTAATGCAATATCACACACTAAAAGCATGATGGAGGCCAGCATATTTTTTAATTTACAATCCTGTCTCAATAGGACCTTGATACAGTAGCACAACCGTGCTATTCCAATATTGAGATATGCACATAACTTCAAAAATCAGAATTTGTGAACCTGGTACAGCTGTGGCATAACAAAGAATATTATATATACAAACCTCAGCTAGCTAAGAATATTATAGAGAATAAAATCAATCCAGGTAAATCAAGGTTCTTTTCCTTCTATACTGTAGGTTTCACATGACAGCTATTTGCCTGACTTGACTTAACTAACCACTTATGTGCACAAGCCAGACATGAATCACACTGGCTGATGCTCATAGGGTGAATTTAAGTGACACCTGGAGTTGAAAAGACCTCAGCAAGCAGATCTGACCTTTAATAATCAAATCCTCAAGAAATCTCCACTCAGAATAGAAACTATCTGCATGTGAATCACACCCTGAACACATATACTGTTTACAGTACGGAAAGCATACTGCCATTTCAGGTTTTTGCAAATTTTATTTAAGGTGCCTTTGTAAAAAGTACTGTATTCATTTCCTAGACTTTGTTATTTCACATTTATTTTACTGGATAATTAAAGCAATGCAACAATGAGGATCACACTACACCTAATTAAATCACTATGATTAGTCTGAAGAAAAAAATAGTTCTATTTCTGTTTTTTCAAAAAAAGATAACTTATATGAAAAAAATGAAAAAGATATTTGAACAAGCCACTCTATTTTATGAAATTAATATTTTTAAAAGATATGATCAAGACTGGCAATTAAGTAGATCTGCTTTAAGGTGAGATAGCCATTCAAAGACACTGAAGAATATTAATTTATCAGTATTATTAATTATTAATATTGTTCACTTCTACTTTACATAGGTAGTTTTATAAAGAGGTTTTGTAGAGAGAATCAAAGTTTTCAATACCTTACTTATCTACAATATAAAAAAAAATATTTTTTCTGATTATGCCTTAAGGCATGGATTCCCAGAACTAGTTCTGGAACCCCTCACAGTTACATAACTGAACTTATATTTATACAGTATATGACCTCATAACAGGATAAATATGAACTTTTTAATTACCTTAAACATATTAGAGGCTAACTTTTAACAATTATGTTTAATAAATCATGTACTATCTCAGATGTCTCAACTTGAAAAAAACTTGAAAAGGTTAGAATAAAGCAATTTATCTTTATTAAGACTATAATTAAGTAAAATGTCTGGCTAGAATAAAAAACAGTGTGTTCCCCAGTACAAGAGCTGGTAATCTCTACCTTAAGGCAAAGCAAACAAGATTATATTGTCCCATTCAGCACTTTTGACATTCAGTGACATTTAAAGCAATGCCTGAAACACTTTTAAAATTGTTATTTTTCCACTAAATGTTTAAAATGAATAAGGTAACAGCTATGATTTTGATGCCAGAGAGGATGAACAGAGATTGAGAAAAATTTGTTTCATTGCTCTGTTCAAAGAAATCTTCATTTCAACCAATTCATTTTATTAATTAACACTTAGATCACATTTTCTAGCAAACAGAAAAATAACATTACAGATCCAATCCTTAACCAAACACCACAATGAACTGCATTTTTCACTGGGAATAAATATCCAGATTCTCTACTGAGAACAAGAAGGAGGAAAAACTAACCAACTGAAGTGCTTGTTTTTCTTCAAAGCAGATGGTTTTAATATGCCAATGAAAAAAACACAAAAAGAGGGTACTGTAAATGCTAATAGTCACATGCATCTATAATAAATGTTTTTTTTTCTTCTGAAAAGCTGTTTGCTGCAGGTGACAGATTTGAGCAAGAACTGTATTAGGTCACACGTGATTCAGCTTGTGGTGGTCACACCGTCATTACTGCTGAAAAAATGGGACATGTCAGGACTGAGTCTTAACAGTAATGCAGTGCACCAGAAATGCTACCTTATATATCCTAATCATTAGTCTTAGCCTCACCTGTTATTTGCCTGGAGTGACGCAAGAACGAATATTAGAGAATGACTGAAAACTGTGTTGAGGTCATGACTTTGTCACCTCATGTTCCACATGGAAAAGTGTGCTCAGACATCTGAGTATATTATGGGATTTCCTCTTTCAGATCCATGTTGCGCATTTAAAAAGACAGATCACATTTGTCCCAATTGGTGTTTCATGTTATAACTATAAGTCCAGGTGCTCAATTTATTCTTTAACGGCACTGTATTTTTAATGAATTAAAAATATGTAACAATACATGGAATGTTTCTTTCCATCATAATTGTATTCACTTAATGTTTTTTTTTATATTCCTTAAAGTAGTCTAAATAGCACACACCCAAAAAATATTTCTGTCTTCAAATAGTAATAAAAGTGGCAGTGGTCTTGACTTTTTTCTCTTTTTTCTGATAAATTTTGTTTATTTCATTGTTTTATTAAATGTATTTCTCAAGTAAATGTTTCTCAAGTAAATGAAGCAAGAACATTGTATTGCATGGAATGGCAATTGTCAAATATTTAATAATTTTTAAATGTATATATTATACTGTTAGAATAGTTTGTATCTGTTTACATATAGACATCTCCACATCTGAAAAGCTTTTTTTTTTTACTTTCCAATGTGTTTTTAACCCTTGCTTGTTACTTTACAGCTCAAACTATTGGACCCCCTATTCTGAGCTCTGCATACTATATACTGTATCAAGCCATATTCTATATCAATGCAAATATAGATGCAAATTAAAGAGGACGAAAAAATCCTTTACATTTCATAAGAGATGTGAAAAGGTTTATTAGGAGGTAGAAGTAAATGAAGTGAATCTAATGCATAGAAATATATTTAACAAGGGTATACAATACTGTAGACCACTTGATCATGCATTCTTAATAATAATGCATTTTTAATTTAATAATGAGAATTCAGGAGATACAGACAAAGCCCAATACTGCGTCAGATTTAGACGATTTAAGGAAATGACTGGGATTAGACCTGCCTAGCATGAGGGACCGCAGCCACCCTGCATGAATAGAGTAGTCAGAAACCCCTTGAAATAGTCAAAGGATTGGTGCATTAATGGTGTTGATAAGGTACATTAGGTGGAAGCAGCAAAGAACGGTTGAGTGTTAGACTGAGAATTTATATCCTAGCAAGCAGTTGGGTGCTAGATTTTATTTTTCTCTTGAACGTTTATTACGAACTCCACAGAAATACACATTGAATTTTTCTCTTGAGTTCCAATGTCCTGCATCATGTGAGTATCTCAAGGTCAGGTATGCTGGAGAGCTATTGAAAATGGGAACTTTAGCCATTGAGCATGATTGTTTTGTGGAATGTAGGAATCACATCTACAGTGCCTACATTTATTTCTAAAATATTGTACCACACGCTTATGAATCAATGGGATTTAAAAATCATTATTAAGGTGCAGTACAGTATGTGGATTATGGTATTTTTCAATGTGTTCCATCATGTTTGGAAAGCAAGAATAGTAATTTTCTCAGGTAGGTAAGAGTTAGTGCTTTTCATTTGCATTTTTAAAATGACAAATGTGAGAGAATGCCACTCAGTCTTCAAACTAAAATGTTAATAAAATGATTGTTCTAATTTTAAAACACTTTTAAAGCAGTCTGTAGTTATTGACATTTTATAATATATAAAACAGTTCCCATCCAGTCCCTTCGCCCAACAATCTGTTCATTTGGAAGTGCCAAATGAATATAAGAAGTATATATTGACTCATCCATTTGACCCAAAGGTCCCTTTTGATTCAAAACTATTTTCTCCATTTGGCTAGGCCTCTTTGTTACATAAAGATCTAATTGTTTTTACTGCAAGTGTGGAGTTCAGAGAGGGAGATTACTTTGGGATTTTTGTAACTGGATTAGTGGTAGATTTAAGCACCTTATTTAGTTACATGAATGAAAATAATCAATAAGCCTGTCTGTCTTTTCACTATTTAAAGGCCTCAGCAAACGACGAATGCATCAAAATCAAGCAGAAGAACTAAGAGTGAGGTTCTTTGTGACATAAACTGATCCATCATTGCATTCCAACTGCATTAACAGCTGAGGAAAAGGTAGGACACTCTTTTATTTGAAAAGCTGGGGGAACTGTGAATAAGGAGTAAGGAAATTATTTTCTTATGTGACATGACACTTACAGTAAATTAGCAGGTGGCAATAACACTTGAATGTGTCTACACCTATTTAAAAATAATTCTCATAGGGTGAAAGCTCTTTTGCTCCAGTGAATCAAAATGGAATTATGATTTACACATGCTTTGTCTTCTGTTCTGATAATAGTGAAATGGAGCTAAGCACAATCTCGCATATAGTCCTCATAACTTTCTAAAGAAAGTCTAAAAGCTCAGCTTGTTTTTTAAATAGACTTCAACAAGAAGCATTTCAGGATAGAATTAAATTAAACATTCAAATTTTTGTGAAGCCTCTTGCTTTTCAGCTCTTTCAATCTGTTTAATAACTAATACCAATACATACAGTAAACATGATGCTGACAAATACAGTAGTGATGGAATATCAAAATTCATTAAGAAGCCTTAACTGTACCATGTCACACATATGGTTCTGCTGCTTGGCTGATCAGCTACATCCTCTGGAGTTTATTTTGTATATCTCTGGCACTGAAACACCAAGAGGTTTTCTCTCTGTTCTGCAGAATGGATTATTCCAAGTTTGCTCTTCTGGTTGTTATTCTCTCCTACATTGAAGAGTGCTGGTCTTCCTCCTGCGTGGTGGACAGCTTCACAGTAAAACAGGACTTTGACCCAAAGAGGGTAAGTTTGGTCTGTAAAATCCCACAATGGGCATTAATGCTGTAATAATTCATCTGGCTTCTAATACAGTTTGCTAGAACCATAATTATCCAAATTGAAAAGTGTGATTTATAGAAATAAATTGCTATGAAGCTGTGAATCTAGACAGTCACGACAGTGCAACACGGGACTTTGTTTGGTGTTGGATTCAACATGTAATGTAATGAATGAAGTATAAAAGAAAATACAATACAGAATTGCACATCCAGTAGAATGAAATAGCAGGAAACAGGATGGCAATAGTCAGGAGGTGTGAGTCAGAGGAGAACGTTAGAGATGTAGAATAAAACTATCACAATTTCTATATAATCATTCACTAATTTCTTAAATTAGTTTACTATTCTAGTTCTCTATGCTACACATTCACTATTTCTTAGAAACTTATCTACATACTCTTTATAGCAAATTGTAGAAAACATTTACATATTAGAAGTTTTCAACAGAATAGAAAGAAATAACAAAAATTAAGATTTTTGTAGAGTGCTTAATGAACAACTACAGGTATGTAAACCAGTGGGATGGTGAAAGATACAGTACAGTAGCTGCAGATTCTTCTGGTTTTTAAAACTGTTAAACTTTGGATAACATAACCCTACCAATTATTTGCTTGGTTAGTGCAAGTTAATGTGTTTCTCAGGATTTTCCTTGCTGCCTGATTACCTATGGCTTTGACTGAACTTTCTATGAACATTTTGTTTTGCACGATTATCTGTTGACTACAGGACATAAAACTAATGCCATCACATTCACTTATAAATCTCATCACAGTTTTCTCATCTCAGAAAACAAACCCCAACAATCAAAGGTATGCTGTATTGATCCCCTGAATATAAAAGATATTCTCCCAGATGGACTTGCACACAGCAGGGTATAATACCTCACTTCGGGCACATAACCGTTCCTTGTGTCTGTGTGTTTCAGTACGCTGGCAAATGGTATGCCCTGCAAAAGAAAGACCCAGAGGGCCTGTTCCTCCAGGACAACATCTCTGCTGAGTACACAGTAGATGACGAGGGTGTCATGACTGCGTCTTCCAAGGGAAGGGTCAAACTTTTTGGGTGAGTTTATACACTGTACTAACCAACTTGCATGCACTTGCTTAATCTAATATTTTGCACCAAAAGTTTTTTTTTTCTGATAGAGAAACATATAGCCCGTATATTTATGATTTTTCTCACTTCTGAAGATCCCCAGTCTTATTTGTTTGGTGTTAAAGGACGTTTGTCGTTCTCAGGAGGTAAAGCTATGTAAAGCATTTACTACTGTGACTGACACAAATAAAGATGGCACAGCCAGCAACATTTTTTTAAGAGTTTTTAAACATTTCCAGAAAAAAAATATTTTTAACATCAAGTGTTTAGATTATTTACTTCCCACAAGAAAAACAAACACGGACAGGCACTTGGCATGTCTACTGAAAAACCAGTTGGAAATGGTGCAGAAGGTTTTCCTTCCTATATTTTGTCAGGTTCTGGGTTGTTTGTGCTGACATGGCTGCTCAGTACACTGTGCCTGACCCTTCCACCCCTGGAAAAATGTTCATGAACTACCAGGGACTTGCCAGTTACCTTTCCAGCGGGGGTGAGTACAAATTTCACATTTCAGGGGAGTTATTATTCTACTCCTGCTCTATACGTTATGGACCCAAAGGTCAACAAGATATATTCTGGGCTATTTTAAATGTCTAAAAGATATAGCCTGTATTAGACTTTTTATTATCCTTCCATTATTAGAATGCCACTTAATGCAGAAGGTAGTACTGACTCACATTAAAATGTAAATACAGGAAGACTAAGTTACTGTTGCACATGCACTGTACAATCAAAGCACTGTCATCTCATCCTTGTGTCATTCAATAACCTGACTGATCAACAGTGTGGATATTTTCTTTACCTAGAATATCACATTTCTAGATTTCTAAACCTAGTAACAGAGATCAGGCCGTTTGTTTTGTTTTTTTTTTGCTGATAGAACAAGGTTGCATATTGATGATATAGTAGTATTGTTTAAAAATGTTTGTCCTGTATTCTGGAACTAAATTTTAATTTTTCCCTGTAATAGTAAGACTAATTTAATTTTGTATGCCTCCATTTGAATTAATAGCACATTATACACATCCATTGTTGCAAGGTACTTAAGATGTTGGCCACTTTATTTTGAAAATTAAGCAAAGAATAAATGTCTACTATTAATCTAAATTATTCTGGTCTTTTCACCAAAATTTGTACTTTGATAAATTTTCCTGTTTAATAGGGAACATTGAACTTAAGTACTTAAGGAGCTTTCAGACTTTTTCTATTTCAGTTGTACTTTGCCACACAAACCTACATCTTAATAGGAATAGCAGAAAATGCAGATTTTGAAATGTAGACATTGACTTGCTTTTCCCTTTGCCTCACCTAGGTGACAACTACTGGATTATCGATACTGACTATGACAACTATGCCATTACCTATGCTTGCCGCTCCCTGAAAGACGATGGCACCTGTGACGACGGTTATTCTCTGATCTTCTCCCGCAACCCCCGTGGACTCCCGCCTGCCATCCAGCGCATTGTCCGTCAGAAGCAGGCAGAGATCTGCATGGCTGGCCAGTTCCAGCCCGTGCTCCAGTCAGGTGAGTTAGGACACCAAACAAAACAGGAGACATTGACACCCTCAGTCACAAAGACATGGACCTGGCAAATTAAAAGTCCAGCAATCAGAACATCGAGCAATGTCTTGATTTCCACTTAACATTTCTCCTCTCTTTGCTTTTCTCCAGGGGCTTGCTAAGGAATAAGCATGACCACTTTCTAAGGAAGGATCCCTTAAGCATGCTGATGTGAGAAGTGGCATCAACAGTGGGGAGACAGAAATGGCATAGTGATGCTTAGGGAGATATATTGTGCATTTATATTTTCTGGGTAAGACCAATACTGGTTTTCAGTGTTAACCAATGTTTGTGACAATAAAAATATTGTTTTTTAAACAAACTATTTGAATGAGCCTTTTTCTTCAGAGTTGAGTGGTTTCTCAGGAGGCTTGCTTTAATGTTTAAGGAGTTTGTTTAGAGATACTGTGCATAAAAAGTAAAAATGTAATATTAATAGTATTTAACAAATCTTTCAATATGACCTTTAAAGAAACATTTATGATACTTCTTGCTTACAATATAATTGACTAAGAAAAACACCACATTAATTATCATTTAGTACTTAAAACATAAAAATCAAGTGAGTGAAATCTGTCCATCTGGTCTGCTACAGTGCTGTAAAGTATATTCTTACATTTCCTATACCAATGTAGCAGCCCTTTAGTTATCACAGGGCTTCCATCTTTTTCTCAACAATGATAATTCAGTCCATGTTAAGAACATGACATCCATCCAGCTAGCACTGAACATTGTGATTGGGTGCAAATCCCTCATTGTCCGTTATTTAATTCAGGCACATCAGATAAAATGAAACTACCTGGAATTTGCTGGCCTGCTCTGGAGCATGACAGAAAATCTGTGATTGTCAGACTAAGCTGTTTTGTAAAAGCCTGTCTAGGAAACTAGACACATACGGTCTTTGGATCATCTTTACTGGATTTACTGGGGACTTAAACAGCTATGGAAGCTTCTTTCTTTCAAAGAACTTTAAACTATGGGTCAATCTTAAGGCCTTGGTTACATATGAGTACAAGCTGCCAGGATAAACATAATTGTATTGCATGGTATTTTCAGTTTGTGCAAGAAATTACTCACCTACCAATATATCACGTGATGATATTGGTACACTTTTGGTTAGGATATGCAAAAGATGATATATTTGCAGGTATACAGTATCTTGCCAACTAAAAAATGTAACATTATAATGTGTGCTTTAAATCATAGGGTAATTAAAAGGACAACAAAAAAATCCTTTACAGTTGTTAACTTCTATGTTTTACATATTTTACTACAGGATGTAGAGGTTATGCACATAACTGTTTAATATTTTGCTTCAATGTTGGGAAGAGTATTGAGAGAAATGTGGTCTCTTCTGATTCTCATTGTGTTGAGAATACCGAGTCAGACAGTTTGAAAAGTACATTTATGAGTTTTATACAGAATTGTAGCTAAGTGTGTCCAATGAAAAGAACAATATAACAGAGCTAATGTTACTACTACACAAACTGCTGAAATACGAATATATCATGCAAGGTACAGAATAAGTACATTATAAAGTCTTAGCATGGGGAAGAAATCCTGTTCTGTTTTTAGGTATTGCAGTCAAGAGAGCTGGTCAGCTTTAGCCTTTAAAAACACATTTATTCAAGCTCTGACCTTGTCCAAAAAATAAAAAAGCAGTTTTCCATACTTTTTAAATATGAAGTAACCCAGACGACATCTTCTGCAGTACTTAGTAGTTCAGGTTCTTGTGTACTCAGTGTGTATCAGTCCACACTGATTTGAGAAGGTGAAACTTCAATGTGGGAAATTCAGCAGTACACTCTTATTCAATCTTATAGTTTTTCTGCACAAACCAGTCATGTTCTATTGTATTCACTAATAATGCATTTTTTTCATTTTTTGCGAAATGTTTACAATTTTATAATCTCTATAAAAGAGCAATAGTGTAATTTTTCATGTTCATTAAAGCATTAACTCAATCAAGCAACTAATCCCAATACAAAAAGTTAACAGAGTCAATATTGAATACACAACACAATATTCCCTTTATAGCACTGCTCATAAAAATAAAACGTACAGTCTATAAATATTTTTTGGCAAAAAATACCAGCAGAGGCACAGAAGTAGTATAAAAATGTGTATCCGACAAATAAAGTGTTCATCAGAGCTCTTCACTGTATTTTTCCGGAATAGAATATGCCCCGGGTCTATCCCAGTAGTCCACTGCACGCACTTTGTAGAAACCTGAAACTTCTGTGCTTTCTGCAAACAAGCAGAGTGGTTAGAATAATGTACTTTTTTATACACAGGTGCTCTAAACAAAACGCTTTACCACATAAGATTATCATTTACTTTGAGTAACTTCTGATTTATCTTTCTCTTTTTCTGATTGGAAGCACAATCCCCAGAATCACATGGGTTATTAGGTGATTCTAATTAGTTATTTGAATTTTAAGGTTTATTTAAATTGTTTGGATTCTTCATATAAGACTCATAATGATTAAGATTAGGATAACCAGAAAACAAACTTTATATTTTCAGAATGTGACCTCCTCAATGGTGGGCTATTTAGAAATTTAGACTGTAAAAACATTACATGACATATTTCTTATTGAAATTTAGAATGAAAAGATGATTATGTACATTTTTGTACTCTTTCAATATTAAGACTTAAAAGTTAAATATGTTAACTTTTAAGTGTGTGAAAAAACATGTGGTCTTTCTTATTGTTTTGAAAATGCAAAAATAGAAGAATAGGAGCCATTTTGTTTTTATTCACTCATTTTGAACACTCATAACGGGAAATTTAGTAAAAAAAAATAATGTGTACTGCTTACCTGGGGCATACGTGTATAATGTAAAAATTGTGTCCCTGACATTAATTCTTTGGAATGACTTCTTGTCCTGTGAGAATTCCACTTCGTAGGTTTTTATACACCTAGGATGACAAACATGCACATCTTCACATGCAATAATGAATAATCCCAGCGCAACAGAATAGTAGTGCTTAAATAATAGTAGCAGCAGTGCAGAAACTCAAAACATGTGGGACTATGGTGAAGATTCTGAATTTAGGGAAACATGTAGACTGACAAATGTTTTCTTTCTTGTGATAATGGTACACAAAGGTAGTTCTAGAAGGAAATAAACAATGTGCATGTGTTCCAAGAGATTCATAGATGACATGCTAAGGAAGCTAATACAGTACCTGTGGGTTCCTTGCAATTTGGATAAAGAAATCTTAACTCTTGCTAACAGTGGGCATACAGTGTGTCATAGTTTGACATGATGGTCTTGCTATCAGTGTACAAGATAAGTGGTGTTATTACTACTAACTTGGAATTGACACAGCCATCTTTCCATAATATCAGCACCTGTCCCTTAGTCACTGTGAGGAAAGCCACACCTGTCACCTAAGAAAGAAAAACACACTTTACCAGAAAACGTCAAAGAGAAAGACTATTTGCAACATTTCCAAGCTGTTTGAAATATTTGTGTTGGAAATACAGCAAAAACTGCATTAATGAAGGCAACGCAAACACATGAGATATAATACAGCATATGAGAATATACTGTGTATAAATATTAAAGATGACATGCAGTTTATATATAAAACTGACATAAGCATTTAAATGTAAGAAAAGTTAAAAAACATTTTCAGAGTTTGACAAAATCCTGTGTTACTGCGGCAAATCTGTTACAATCCACTTTTCCCTTTAGCTGATTTTCAACAAATGCTGAGTTCAGTTCAGGAGATCATGTCTGGATTTACTAGCTACTACTTAGCAGTGGGCTGATTTGAATCAAAGAGGATAAATCCACAGCCAAAATTTCCTCCTGAGCCTCTGGGAGCGGAATGCTCACGTGGCACCATGCTATGTGTCAGTATAGTGAGACATACTAATCTCCTAAAGTAACCTGGCACAGCAGATAAACTTAATTTGTGAAACTTGTGAGCAACAAAAACAAGCTGGTTTAAAAAAATTAGTGCAATTCAGAAACAGTAAGAGCGTACAGGCACTGAATTTATGGTTGTCATGCTTTAAACAAATTATCCACATGGACTGCATGGAATGTTTATGATGACCCCACGGCGCTGTTTAGAGAAATGTTCCTTGTGATCTGCATGAGAATATACATCCTTTAAGAAAAGGATTCTAGGGATTCTGTCATGAGAAACATCAATTAAACAAAACTGATGCAATAAGATAGTGTAACACAGTGATACAGTGCATACAGTATGTGTCTATTGGATCTGATGGATTAGCAGCACACACTGACCTGATCTGGTGCTGCCTGAGGCTGGGCACACACATGAATGAGGTGAACAGAGGGGATGGGCAGCTCCACTTTCAGGGTAAGACTGCCTTCAGAGGGGAAGGGAAAAGGTCCAGTCACCAGTGGATCCTGGGGGAGATGCAGTTATTATACATTTAAATAAAATACTTTACAGATTTCCATTATACACCAACCTAATCTGGAATCACCATTTGTTTTCTTACATCTCAGATCGTGGCACAGACTCCCGCAGTGTTATGGTGGGGAAATACGGAAGGGCCATACTCTGACCCTGAAAGTAGGGTTTGGGAAAAATAAATAATAGTTAAAATTATTTGGATTTCTGCCTTAGTAACCTGTAGTCTCACATAAATGAATGATTTATTGAAAATAAAAAGTTCCAATCCATGAATATGTAGCGTGTAGCCCATTGACACAGGGAATACGGATGCTTTTTGAACTTCAAAGGGAGTAACACTGTTGTCACAGGCTCCTTAGACGTTATACTCCCTATTATTACAGGGTTACATTCATCCAAGTGACAGGTACAATGTTAAATTAGGCTTGTGTGTAGTAGCACATTTGTTATTATTTAGTTGGCTTACAAACTCAAGAAGCTTTACCTCAGCTTCCCTCAGTTGATGGAACTGCTCAATGGTAGGAAAGTCGGGGCTTCCAAAGCTTTTCCACAGTTGATACGGGTTTGTGGAATTGTTGTCCAGATGATAAGTCACATACACCAACCCTGGAATCAGAGATCCAAAGGCATCAATATCAACATTGCAAAAATAAAAGAAAGGAAAGGAAGAAAACAAAATAACCGAAGAACATTCAGGACCTCAGATTTTCTTTTTTGGAACCAAAGGGTTAACACACAAGAAGACTGAGAATGTTCTATTAATTTGCCCCTACCTGGATGAGTGGCGTATCCATTAAGATGGACTGTAACATAGCTTGTATCAGGAGAGGTGGTGTTGTCTCTGCTGTTGTAGATCAATATAGTGGACTGCCAGCTATTTGATGTTTCAGGGAAATTAGGTTCATGGATGCTGGCAATGACGCCCAAAGTAGAATCTTTACCTTTCCCATCCGCAGTTATATGAGCTGATATTTGCTTCTCTCCTGTAGGTTGAAAACAAAAAAATGAGACAGTAAAAATTAAAACATCTCAATTACATAGCCAGCAACTTTTTGAACTGGACTTTTCAACAAACACATTGAGAAGACACAATCTGGAATAATTCTCGTTGGAAAACCACCTTGAACAGCTACAAAGTAATTTTCTTTAATTTATTGTCTAAACCACCATCTAGACTAAGTACTCTGAATGTTGGAAGATAAGATTTCTCCTATGAAATATACTATAATTCTGAGAAAACAGCACTGGACTGGAGTGCAGAAAAAACAAAACTGGTGTAAGTCAGTGAAATGTATGCACTTCACCTAAATAACAAATTAAAGAGAGCATCTGCCCTCTGTGTGCAGCCTCTGCTTAAAAGTTAGATGAGGATTCATTTGTAACTTAACTCAACTATCACTTGATTAGTAGCCACTAGTCTGTGCATTGCTTTGACTATAACATAATTCTCTGATAAACATAATTAATTTGCTTAGCTATTAAACCCCAAGGCGGTACACACAACTGCCACCTCATGCCACTAACAACTGAAAAGGTCAGTGAAAATAACACTAAATTATTTCTGTGCCTCTGTCTAGTTTGTTTTTGTACATGATGAACCTTCCAGGCACTGAATACAGTTACACTCTCTATCCTCTTCACTGCCCTTCTTTTCCATTGTACATTAAATAAAAAGAGGATTAGGTTCTCAGTACATGTGTCCTGTAACTGGATTAGTGCTTGAAAATATAGATGTTGCTGACTCCTACACTTTCAGTATAGCAATCAGCAATGAACAGTCTCAAAATAATTGTGTTACAAAAAACAAAGCTTTTCTTTAGAGGAAACAAAGTAAAATCAATTAATTTCTCCGAATTCACTCTTCCAAAGCCTCACTTATGATAGTACAGATGAAGGGCTCCTCCTAGTATATGCCAATATATCAGAGTGTACTTGTTCATCTGTGTAGTAGATTAGGCAGCCCACTAATTAGTAGATTAGTAGAATAACACAGGTTATTTTGAAATCCTTCTTCCACATGCTGCTGAAGGGGAAAGCCTGAAGGGATTAGTTACTTAAACTGACACTTTCTGAACTGAACACGTACATTAGCAATTGATAGATATATAAGTGCAATACTGTACATAGGTCAAGATCCCAGGTCTACTAGCCTCTTCTCTAAACAATGGACTCCATGCAATTATTAATAAAAAACAATACTGGTCTTAATCAATACTGGCCATATTTAACTGCCTTTGTTTATTTATTTTTCAAGCCTGGTAGATTTTTTGTATCTTTTACTTAGATTATAAAATATACATGTAAGTATAACATATAATTATGATATAATTTTGAATAATATAGTATACAGTGCCTTGCTTTTTTATTACAAGGCTTTGATGTCACTGTATTGGTATGATGCTCACCAGCGAACTAAGCTACTGCTGCACTTATGTCTCTTTTTTAGCTACCAGTTAAGACAAAAGTTAACAGTGTTATGTGGGAACCTCAAGAGATGGCATTCTTGCTTGATCTGAAAACTATTGAATGGAATATGACAGTCACAGATAATAGTAAATTATACGAATAAAACAATCTGGAATATATAACTCATTTTAATCTATGATTACAAGATCAACAGAGCATTCTAACAGAACAACCAATTGAACATTCCAATTGAATAAAGTGACAAAAAAAATGTCATGCTTGGTAGTGCCATCTGAAATTTGTGATGAATACTAAATCAAAGCAATAGCTGGGATTTTCAATCCTTGAAGTCACTGGTGTTCACTTCACAAAAAGTGACTTTCTTGTATTGGTTTTGCTGTGTTGCTGTATCATTTTTCAAGTCAACAAGAATGGGACCACGTGGAATTATTTTCAGAAAACCTTTCCGATTTTACTTGTGATAACACAAGATGTATGTGGTGTTTAGCGGGAATTAAAATGAGGACCAGTATTTAAATGTGATTTGGTTAATTCTAGATACTATGAAGAGAAAATAAAAAAAATTGTAATAAGATGTGGTCTACTGTAAATACATGGAAAAGTTCATTGCATGGAAACAGAACCACACAACCATGTCAGTTAATTTTCTTCTAATGATAACTTATAAGAAAAAACTGCAAGGCATTATAAAAAACAAAGCCTATTAATATTATTACTTCCACTACTACCTGTTTAAAGCAATTGGAGAAACTAAGAACCTGTTGAAATTAGAAAATCTCAATGTGAAAAAGTCGACACACTGTGAGACATAGGAGGACGTTTCACACCTAAGAGTGACAGGAGGCCCATGACTGTCAGCACAGGCTTCCTCAGCAGCTGAACATGAGGAGGACGTGTGTGGTTCATCTGGAAGCGAGCGGTGAGGGTGCGCTGGGTGAAGTAGTGTGGGTGGTAGTTGAGGAAGGCGTTATCGTTGCTCAGCAGGGTGTAATTGATGGTGTTCTCTGGACTTGCCATGAGCAGGTTTTGGTGCTGACCAATAACCTGGAAAAGAAAAGACTGAGTCAAAAATGGTACGAAAATGACCAAGACTTTTTTGGTTTCATTCACCCCAATTGAAAACAAATTCTGACAGCTTCTTCCAATTAAGGGCCGCAGGGCAGCCAGAGCCTATCTTGCCATGATGGCAGTCCATTCCAGGTCCCACAGAGACACAAACATCCATACCCTCACATCATGTCCAATTTTCCCAAAGGCCAATTAACCCAACAGTATGTCTTTGGGATGTGGGAAGAAACTAGATAGCCCCCCAGGTCTGGAACTGAACAGAGAGTCCCAGCACTACAAGGCAGCAAAGCTAACCCCTGCACCATTGTGCCTCCCTTCTTAATTGTTGCCATGAAGAATAACCAAAATACTTCATAGGTAACACTGACAGAACTATTCACTATCTACACCGAACGCAGAGATTGCATGTAATATTACACGTACGTAGGACTTGTTTGCATGTAAGCTACACAGTAGCTGTAAGCTGTATTGCTTACATGCAAACAAGGTGCATCAATGTGAAACAATATAAATATATATAAATCAAATACAGGCATTGAATTAAGGGTATGTAGAAGACTGTTCCAACAGATCAAGATTAAAGGGAGAGCATTATGTGCTAAAAGATACCATAAGAAGAAAAACAATGTAAAATGGAACAGTCATTAACACAGCCAGTTCTGTTCAATTGTCTAATACTGGGCACACAGAGGAGCAGCACACACAAAAGGCTGGATAACCTGCTCCTCTCAGAACTTCAGAAAATTTCACCTCACATGGCCTCTTCCTTCATATGAATTAAGATTAATGGGTTTAGTGGATTTAGCTGCTTAGTCCTGACTTGACTTGCCTTGCCCTGTGTGAGTAAGAGACAAAGATGTTCCCAGTCTTAACAGGTGTTGTATCAGTCAGCTGTACTGTCATTGTTAGAGAGACGATGTGACATGGGTTATCACTGTTCTCACTGCGTGCTTATATTTGGCATCGTTATGTCATAAGGTTACAGTGGGGAGCTGCTTCACATTTCTCCCTAGTTTTCCCTCATTCCTATGCACATCTGAAAAAGCCTCCACAAGTGAAATGTGGTTTTCCTTCTTTCTTCTTATTTTACATCTTGGGATTAACCTCCATCTGTTCCTTTGTTAAACTGTGTCTGTTTTACATCAGTGATACAAATTTCCATGCCGGAAATATCTTACCCTTAATGTAAGAGAATGTGGCCATTAAATATAAACAAACTGTTTAGTTTATTGTTTTTGTTGTTTATTGTTTTAGTTTAGTGTATTGAACAGGGACAGAGCAGAGCTCTTAGGTTGTACCAGAGATCAAATCTACATGTGTTTCATACCACATTGTCCAGACAGACAATAATTTATTGGAGTCAGCAAAGAAACAACAGTCTCTATTAACCTGGTGTTTGCATTAAAAGGGGTTAGACTGATATTTGAAAACCCCAAAACTATTGATGTGATGTCAGATGATGCCTCAATGAATGAACTACGGTGCCACACGTGTCTTATAGCCCTCTCAAATTACTGCTTTCAAAATGGAGTCCAAAACTAATTGTGCAGTTGAGACTGGGGATGTTCAGTTACATTGTTTAACCAGGCCTACCAGTAGAATAACTATATTAGCATTAATGATAATTCCTTACACCTACGCAGTATTGTGCTTTTCTAGACACTCCACTCAAAGTGCTTTACAGTTAATGGGAACTCCCCTCCACCACCACCACTGTGCAGCATCCACCTGGTTGATGGGACGGCAGCCATAGTGCACCAGAACGCTCATATTAATAGGGAGGAGAACAGAGTAATGAAGCCAGTTCATAGATGGGGATTATTAGGAGGATATGATTGATAAAGGCCAATGTGACATTTGGCCAGGATGCTGGGGTTACACCCCTACTCATTTTGAGAAACGCCCTGGGATTTTTAATGACCACAGAGAGTCAAGACATCAGTTTTACATCTTATCCGAAAGACGGCGTCTTTTTACAGTAGTGTGTCCCCATCACTATACTGGGGCATAAGGACCCACACAGACCACAAGGTAAGCACCCCCTACTGGCCCTAATAATACCTCTGCCAGTAGCAACCTTAATGTTTCCCAAGAGGTCTCCCATCCAAGTACTGACCAGGATCACACTTGCATAGCTTCAGTTGGCTGCCTGTTGTGAGGTGCAGGGTGATAAGGCTGCTGGCAACATTTGGAAGTCCAACAGGTTTATGTCCAAAAAAATATAATGGGCAGCTGTCAGAAGGTGGCCTCCTAAACTATTTAAAGGAAAATAAACCAATTGCTCTCTGCTGTTAGTTTCTAATATTTTGGCCGGCTTATTATTTAATGAAATGCCTCTTTGAAAAGATGAATAGCTTGCTGGGGTAGGCTCTGGCTTTCCCATGACCCTATACTGGATTAAGCAGTTAGAAAATGGATGGACAGATAGAAAAGATTAATAATTGACTTGACACATTTTAGTTTAATTAACTTTTCACCAGGCTATGAATATTTTCCAGAGATGTACAACATGTACAACACATTGTTGAGTGTAGCCTGAGTTCTTAGATGTTTTCTCAAATATTGTTCCATTGGCCTCAAATGAAGCCAAGCATTTAAGTGAAAGAAGCAACAAGTTCTATAAGGTGAGGTAACAGACCAAATGTACCATGACATTTGTCTTTATTATAAAGTTATCATATTTCATATATCATATATCATAGGTCATTTGAGCCTTGTGCTTTTTGGAGATAATCCATACAGTACATGTTTCATGAGGTTTATTTTCAATGTATCACATTCTTATACAGGGCCCCGACTAGCTCTGTTGGTAGAACACGAAACTCATAATCTCAGGGTTGTGGGTTCGTGTCCCACGTCTGGCGCCAGGTCCTCCATGTTGGAGGCTGGGCACAAGGCTAACAACCCTGTCCTGTACAAAACCAATGTTACGGAAACAGCAACAGGACGTTGCTGTCCCTACATGCCGGAAGGCATATCGGGCAAATATCCATCCATCCACATTTTTATACTAAAGAATCTCATAAACTTATTTATGACTACTACTGCGCTTTAAAACTATTTGAATTTACTGCAGTGTGAGTTGTCAAATATTGCCATCTCTTCAAGATAAAACAGCTACAGCTTATCAATACAAGTGTATTCAATACTGAACTGTGGAAACTGCACACTATCAGCAAATGGAGAGAGATCAAAAAGGCTGGTTGACTTATTACCAGTTATATCTCGGCTTGATATAACTGGTAATTAGTGAATGACCATCAAGCACACCTATTAATCTCATTCTAAATTATAATGTGATCTGAAACATTGTGTATTTGCCAAGACCAAACTATGCCTTTATCCAACCACCTTCACTCTGTGAAAAAATAGCAAGAATAACATACTATTTAAATCAAAATCTCATTGAATTTGGCAAAGCACATTTTTAGACAACTGCATTAAGTGGACTTTGTTCTATACATTCCCTGATTTCTAAACATCATGAAGCCCAACACTAACTCTGAACTGAATTACAGATATCTTAAGCAATAATAATGTCGAACCAGGACTTTTATTCAGTTCATCATAAACAAGCTGAACCTCATCCAATTTCCTTAATATACTTTGTGCTAAGAGATGAACATTCCTAATGTGTTACAAAACTGCTCCACCTCCTGGTTAAAATTTACAAGTGCTGGTGAATATCCACTTCTAGGTCAGAGTTAAATGTGGATGAATGTATTTCGTTTAGAACAGTCAGACATAACCAAATGTCAGTGCATTGCAATATTTATCTTATTCACACCAAAGAAGATCATTTTATAAACTGTGACAACATATTTAGAGCAATATTTCTATTTCACACCAGCTTTCACACGGACAAAAGCATGAAACTTCCAGAAACTTGAGAAAACAAGACTTGAAAAAAAGATTGCACAGTAATCTGTAGGAGCTAAATGGTAGTGATTTGTAATATATACAGTAAAATATATATATATAAATTGTAGTTAGATATATTTGCATATACTTTTTATGATGCAGTGTGTGGAGTTCCCTAGATCCCCAAAGGAACATTTGCAGAGCTCAATTTCTTCACGATCCCCCAATGTTGGATCAGTACTGTTCCAACATCTCCTGGGAACACATCCTATTACTTTATTGCTTTAGGTTTAGATTATTTTTAATGGATCAAAGAGCAATGGTGATGATTGTACTGGAAACAGAACTGATCAAAAGGTGTCTACAATATCACTTAAGGTGAACATACTGTAATACTGCCTAAAAACCATTGGGGGAAAAATACATTCTTTCTTGTTTATTCTTGTTTTTAGGGAAGACCTCTTAATCATTTTGAGGGAACGTTTCATCTCCCTTACCTTTACAACCATGGCTGCATAAGTTACATCTGCCCTCCACAGTTGTGGTTTAGACCATCCGACCAGTGGATCTGCTTCATCGTTGTAAACAGGAAGGTATTTAAATGAGGGAAAACATTGCTGTATCTCCTTTATGGTTTCTATTTCCTGTTCCAAGATACGGAGAGAGCTACCTTCACCCTGTAAATAAAGAAATCCACAAGCAACAGATCATGATTTGACATGTATTTGTTCTGACAATCAAAAGCCTTAGTGAATTCCTTAGGAATACCAACAAATTGATCCCTGTAATTATATTGGGAAGGGCAATCATGAGACAATGTCTTTGCCCACCCAAATTTCACTAATGCAAAAATGCAAAAAGTTGACTATAGTGTCAAATTAAATCACACTTCTGAGTGCCCTTTCAGTACAGATGGTATTGTGTATCACAAAAACTGACGATGCGGGATATCCAACAATGGTTGATTTCTGTAGCCTCCAATGTGCTTTTCTTGGTTCAAATGAACCTGGTATTTGGTTTATATAATAGCTGTGCTTGTTCCAGGGCAGTTTCAGAGCACAACAATGCTAGCGCCTGGTCTCTCACCTTCTTATGCAGTGCTATGTAGTCCAGCCGAACACCAGTCTCCCCAGTGAAGAAGTTGGTGCCGTTGTAGCAGTGAGTCAGCATGGCCCAACAGTAGGGAGAGTGAGGAGGGGAGTGACAGGAGTCCCCTGGGCCCCCAAGCTGCAATAAGGGACTTGCATCCTTCAGACCTTCAGAGCAGGCATCATAGTAATTGAGGAAACCTAGAGGTGAGGAAACATTAACTTGGACTATGAAATCTACTGCAATGCAACAAACTGACAGTTGCTCTTTGTGCAGGAATGCTAAAGTATAGACCAGTTAAAACAGACAGATTTCTGTCCTTTGGTTGTTTTAAAACATGAGTTGTGGATCTCAGGCTTTTATGCAAGTGTGACAGTTATTGAAAAATAACCCAAAATACCTTCACATTTCTCTGATTGGCCTAGTCTGACCAATCAGTGAGTCTGATTTTCTTAGTTACTACTGTAGGTCAAGTGGGCTGTGTCCCATGCAGAGCCCTGATAGGTCAGAAAGAAATGCATTAGCCAATGCAATGCACAGATATATGGTTATGAGAACAAATTTTCCCACAACATTTTGGCAACAAATGTGTCTTTCTCTTCTACTTTTTGTTTGTGGAAACTGTTTCTTGGAATTCCTTCCAGTTGATTTGGATCTGGTCTCATTTTAGTGTCCTAAGCTAGCTTACCTCTTAACGACAGTGGATGAAAGGGTAAGAAGTGCATCTGTGATTAACAATTAAACCCACATTTACAAAATTTGAATATTTTAAAAATACAAAAATCCTTGAAAAAAGATTTTGGTGGTAAGGACATTAAAGTGTCTACAAAACTTTTCTGTTTGGTGTTTACTTTCTCCTACCCACATTTATCAAAATTCTAAAAAATACAAAAATCCTTGAAAACAGTTTTTGGTGGCAAGGACATTAAAGTCTTTTTACCTTACTTGTAGAACTATTAAAGATACACTATAATCATGTGGAAGTGACTTTGGGATACACAAAGAAGTGTAAACATACTGTAATTTAACAAGAAAGTCCTTTACCTTGGATTGTTACAGTAACATTGTCAAAATCATGATTGTTGGGTTCATTCCATGTTTCAAAGTTCCACTTGGAAACATATCCTAAGCCATACTTATCTGCAATTAAACATGAAAACATTGTGTTACAATGACAAATATTCCAAGGCAATAAATACATAAAGACTAAGGTAAGAAAACCAATTACTGGACTGGACTGAAATGCTTTGAATGCCAAGAGTAAAGAGGGCAAACATTTTGTGTGAACTGTGCAAACCCTTTACTTCAGACGTACCAATGTACCTCTTTGCCAGAAGGGAGACCATTTTTTTCCACTCCATCACTTGCCTTTTGTCCTCAAAGTCAGTGAAGTATCCACCAGCGCTTCCCATCAACTCAAAGCCTGAAACAGACACACCTTGAAGTTAATCAACTGCCTTTGGTTAGAACTAGCTTAGAATGAAAAAGCAGTTGTTTATATTGAACAAACAGGACACAGTAGTGTTTCCGGCATTTGGGCCAAAATGGAGTTTGGCATTCCTTTTCTAGGCTTAGTTCCCACTTACAATGGAAAGCTGAAAGCCCCTGAGCAGGTGATGACTGCTGACTGTCTCAGGAGTTGCTATTGCCCTGTCTGTGGTGTCCCAAACCTGTCCGAGGTCTGAGAAAGAGGAACCAAATCAACTGATGTTACCTGGTCTCAATCCATTCTGCCACAACAGGTCAATAAGTTTATCCAGCTTGGTGAAGTTGTAATGTGGTTCTTCATTTACAACACTACAAAACACAGAACAAAAAGAAAAGTAAAAACCTGCTTCAGTTCACCCATCCTAAACTGTCATGGAAAGGTCTCAGTATTTTCAGCTGGATGAAAATAAATACAATATACAAGATTTCTTAAAATTCTACATTTTAAATGCATGGAAAAATAATTCCTTTGGAATACTGTGAAATTTATTTTATTTACAAAATGTAATAAAAGTATACATAGTAAAAATAATAATAATATTCGTACATCATAATAAAATGTACATATTACAAATGTACAATTGAAAGGATATTAACAGATGTTAATTTTACAATTACATTGCTTTTTTTCATCTCTTAACCCAATGCTAGGTTCTTGTAAATTGTCTACCAAAACCAGGAGTATTTTACCCAAAACTCTAATTGGAAATGAGTAGAGCACTTTGCGGATTTTATGCAATCTGTGTGTAGTGTTGGGGCAGCAAAGTGGCACAATGGTTAACATTGATACCTCACAGTGTTAGGGCCCTGGGTTTTATCTGCATGGAGTTTGCATGTTCTTTCTGCATGAAGTTGTCATAACACTTTAATTTGAAACATGACACAAAGAAGAGTGTCACACATGGAATACAGTATGTGGTTTAGCAAAAATATGCATTAATGCAAATGAACTACCCCTGATTCTTCAATCACAGAAAAAAAAGGCTATGGTTATTCATAACAGCAAGCAGAAATTTCAGGCATGTCCAGTTATTCATGTCATGTGTATGGCAAGTGCTGTGTCGTTGTATTTCTACAAGTGACTGTGCTTTTGAGGATCTTCTACAACTGATTTCCTGTTATTCCGAACACATAAAGAGCTCTTGTGTGCCGCTAAGTGCTTGTCAAATTCAATAGACTTTAATTTAATTAACTGCACAGAGATCACGGAATGAATCAGAGAAACTCTGTGTACTAGGGGAAATTAATGGCAAGCTTCTCCATTCAAATGAAATGCTTAAATAAACACAAATACAATTAAACAATAATTATGTAATTTGTCTAGGACAACATGGACAGCTCAAATATAATATTCAATATTTATAGTAGTTCAGGTGGGTAGCTGCGTCAGCATGCGTAGGCTGCCTCCACACCTGAAGAAGGCTCCACGGCCGAAACGTTGTGTTTTCTTTCTTCTTTTTTTCAGCATGGAATAAACCTATTACTTGTTCCTTCAATATTTATATTCATGTAATATACATAAATATTATACTACAGGTAAGTAATAAAACCATGTAACAACAATCAACATTTAATTCATTTTAACAATGTTTTAACTATGCTTGTTAGTTTGAACAATTAACAAGTACCTTTTAAATCTTATTTGGAATCTTTTGAACAACAGTGATTTTTTAATTCAGTTACCATTGTTTCCCATTGGTTCTTGTAATAATACCAAAAGAATAAAGATGGGAAAAATTAGAATCCTAAACATTTTCACTTGGTTTTATACATCTTATGAAGTCTTTCATCTGCTGTTTTGCTCTGCTCAAAACAGTTTATCACTGAATGGCACCTGCATGACTCACTCAGACAGCTCTCGGCCAATCTAGTTTTCTTCCCACCCTTGGTGGAAATAACTGTATGTGCAGATTGAGAAGTGACTGTGTGCACAAGTGCCTCTCAGGAGTTAATGAATTGTATCCCTAGTCTTCTGAAAGTTGTGTGTAGCACTCAATGGTAACATTAACAAGAAAAAAGAAACAATTTTCACACTATGTTCAAATAATTGTGTAACTTGACAATGTTCTAGTCATCTCCACATGGTTCCATGGCACAGAAAGTCTCAGTAAACAACAGCTCTTTGAGATCCTTATGTTTTATAATTGGAATTGGGAAAGATCCTCATTGCAGTGAACTTGTTAGCTGCTTGAGTGAGTCTCATCTTTTTAATGTGGTGGGTATGCCAGTCTATGAAATGTCCTAATTTAAAAAAGAGCAAAAGAGTTGGTTAGGCCTCCCTCTGAACCAGAATTCCTAAAACTAAGTGTCACCTAGACATCAGCAGATTTCTTACCATAAAATAAAGTTTTTTTGGGAAAAAAACACAAAATATAATTTGTATTAACCAAAGATGACTTTAACAACATGCATCAAACTGAGGAAGGAAAAGTTATAGATTAAACAACATTGGCATAGATGAGGCACATGTTTTACAGGTACTAGGAATACTTATGATAAACAAACTTCCAGAGTATTCTTCCAATTGGACTTGGTCTTTCAAGATAAAAATTTGGAAATGGACTGCACAATTGCTAAAATAGCCTTCATCCGTGAAATTGGGGACAAAAATGAACCAATTAATTACAGACCAGTAAGGCTGACTTATATTTTGTGGACGGATATGGAAAATCAGAACAAAATCAGAGGATCACCTACTGTATATGGAAATAAATTATTGGGGAATAGTCAACATTTAGAAAGGCCAAAATAAGCAACAACAGTAATTGACACAAAACAAATGCTAAAAATAAACATACACATGGCAAACACTGACATCTTCTAGACAATTTTTAGAAGAAATAACAAAGGAGACAGAATGTTACAGTAGCTATACAGTACCTATACCTTACATATACTCTACCTAAAATCAGTCCAGGACAGAGCAACCAAGTATTTAGCAAAGTACTTTGCTAAATGTTGAACAATTCTAATATCTTAATGCCACTGGAATGCCTATGTAAATATTCCTTTTATACATGCATTCCTTGACATCTTATAGTTCAGCAAAAAAAACAAGGATGGATTATTGCCTTTTACCTTCTTTCATTTCTTATATGAGAAAAACATTAGCCAAAACAACAAGGAAAACAAGAAAAAACAAAGGTAACAATGTTTAACCCAATAAAGAATTTATTTGCACATGTTCTTTCTTCTTACTGACAATGTGAAATAAAAAAGTAAACATTTTTTATGTTTATGTCATTTCTAAGACTTCACAGAAACGGGATGGTACAAGAAGATACAAGAACATGAAGAAAATGTTTGATCAATTTAACAAAAGAACAACATTTTATTAATATTTATCTGCACAAATACTTTACACCAGAAGAGCAACCAACCATTTTGTCAAGTAAAAGCCCAAGCAGTACGTGACTTTGTCACTTAAACATTTACATTGAAATTCAGTCAATGGATTCTCTTTAAATTACATGGTTAATGAATATATAAAGCACTGGAAGAAATCACAGAGGTGACACTTCTGTTCAGACAGAATGCACTTGTTATTAAGCAGTGTATGGATCTCGCTTTACAATATGAGAAACTTACTGATTAATATTTTTACTACGAGTAATTAAATAAACCAACAGCTTAAACCTGTATGGTCATTTTTGATCTTCACTAATTTTCCATTAATTTTAAATTGTTTCCCACTGGCTCTTGCAAAAAACAAAGTTAATGAGAAAAACAAGCAACCTGAACATTTTTACTTGGTTTGAATGCTGACTTTACTATACAGTAGTTAAGTCTACCATTGATGTCCCTGCTAAAAAAAGGGTTGACATGGAATAGCACCTGCCCACCTCTCTCAGACAGCTCTTGGCCAAACAAGTTTTTATTACGTTCCTTGGTGAAAATACGTGCAGCTTGAGAGGAGATGAAGTGCACCTGTGACTCACTGCAGTTAATGAATTGTATCCCTCGTCTTCAAAAAGTTGTGTGTATAGCACTTAATGGTTAACAAAGAAAAAGAAAGATCCTTTTTTTTGTTTAACAAGTTAGGAGAACATACTATGTCCTATTAATTGTGTAACTTGTCAATGTTCTAGCCACCTCCCCATGGTTCCACAGCAAAGAGATACTCAGTAAACAACAGTTCATTAAGAGCCCTATGCATTATGAAATGAGAAATGGGGATGATTCTAATCACAGTGAACCTGTTGCTTGACTGAGGTACAGTTCCATCAGGAAATAAGGTTAATTTGGCTGTAGAATTCAGGACTTCTTCAGACACACATGCTGAGGTGAATGTAATGAAAATAATTCGTAGCACGTCCATCTCTCATCATAGAGCTGCCTCATCCTGGTAAGAGCCCAGGAAGTACAAGATTTGGCTACATCCTGGACAGGACACACAGTCAACTCAGAGATACCAATTAACTTAGCGGTTATGTCTTTGGAAAATGGGATGAAACTGGAGAAAAACATGGCAAAACTTATGCAAATGTGAGGGGAACATACAAAGCCAGAAAGCATCTCCCTCTTGAATGAAACCTAGGACCTAGAGCCGTGAGGCAGCAGGGGCAAATTTACATGGAACACTTTTCATGGAACACTTTTAAGAGGTAAATTAAAATGAATTATGAGTATGATTTGGAACAGGGTAAACCACAAGACAGCTGTTTTACCCTTATGAGCTAATGTAGTGCAGCTGTTGAGGAAAAGGCACTGTATTGTAGCTTAGTGGGGCATTTTGGTTCCTATCTGTTTTTTATTTAATCTTTCACCAGCCACTCACCAGTATCAATCACCTCATCACCTTCACTCAATCAACACTCTCACTTAAGAAGTGATTTAGTGCAAGTGTGATTAAGTCACTGTAGTGTATTTCCAGTGACTTAATCACACAATGATAATGATAGAATTATCAATTTTTCAACATGATACCAAAAACTTCTAATCAATATCCAAAATCCTAAAACGTGATTTTTATAAAGACATGCACACATAAAGAAATACATTTCTTTTGATACTCAGTATATTTTAGCTCTTTATTTTGACTCTTAGCGTCTTGTGAGGCAGGATGAATACACTCCCTAGGGGAGGGAGTGTTTCCATTTTCTTCTGGTGGTACAGTAGCTCCATGCCCTTGTTTAAGTATTTGTCTTGTTTATGAACAAAGGAACACCTGCAGACCATCTCTTGTGTAGTATAATCCTTGTGAGAATGTTCTGTCCAAAGCACTGCCTGGCAGGCTGCTACAAAAATATTCTTTCTCATGTATATCATACTACATTCATACATTGCATTTTGCTCATTTAATGAAGTTT